CCCTGGGTGGTCAGGGTTTTGGAGGACTAATAAATGTGGCCTGATTCCTAGAAAGAAGAGCTGCACCCTCCAAAGTTGGATGGATGCCGTCTCTCCGAATCAGACCAGACTTTCCCAAAAAAGGATTGTCAATTATTAATGTAGCCCACGTTGTTTTCAGGACACCACCTAGACAACCAGCGGTTGAATGACGACATGCGGCTAAACATGTCATCACTGGTCAGATCAGGGAGGGGACCAGAGAAAATTACGGATTCCCACATTTTTTTGGCAAACTTACACACTGAAGCAACACTAATTTTAGTGACCTCCGATCGGCGTAACCGGGTGTCATTACCGCCAGCGATCAGATTTATGCAGCGATCACATCCAGCAGGCAATGTGGGACACATTCTTCTGTTTTATAGAGAGAAGCCCACAAAGGAAGAGCCCCAGGCTGAGAGGTAAGGTCACCCATCAAGAGGCAATGGTTATAATGGTGAGCTAACCACTTTACCCCCCTATTAAAGCCTACGTGTATAAAATACATGTAGGCGCTCTGCCGGTCCCAACACACTGCAGCTTCCACCCATAGTGGAGGAGTGAGCAGGAACCAAGGCTGTGGGCCAACTGCAGGTTGCTGTTGGTTTTTTTTTTCCTTATCATGGCCGCGTTGTTGACTCTAAGCAGAAAACCTGATCTCAGGTAGACGATGTTGTTTCATGTGTCTGATGGACGTTTGTTCTGACTGTTTTTTTTCTGCAGGCTGGGAAGCTGGCTATAGAGCGAGGATGGGCCATAAATGTAGGTGAGTTCCGTCAGCATCAGGGACTCTGCTCCTGTCTGAACCTTTACAGGATGTACTGTAATAAACTATGAGCATCTAGAAACGGCTCAAATTAGGGAACACGTCGCTCACATGCCTCTGTGTGACGAGTCAAGTTCTAGTTAATTCTGTACTTTAGCAATAATCTCATTTTATTGTCATCAAACTTTAAGCAGTGCTTTCTAACAGCCTGTAGTTTAAACTAGAGCCCAGCAGGGGGCAGAAGTGAACTTCAGTCCATCAGCTCCTGGTCTATTTCATGCCATCTCTAAGATGTCTAGAAGCCCTGCCTGAGTCTGGCTCTGTTTCATCAGGGGGGGGCTTCCACCACTGCTCCAGTGACAAAGGAGGGGGCTTCTGTGCGTATGCTGACATCACGTTGGCCATCAGGGTAAGACATCACATTTCCTTCTGATGATGAATGAATGAAATGTCAGCATTACACTTTAACCAGTTTAAAAACATTTTCTCTATTTCTTTGCTCAGTTTCTTTTTGATAGAGTGGAGGGCGTCTCCACAGCAACCATCATTGACCTTGATGCTCATCAGGTAAGCCCTCCATCCATCATCCATCCATCCATCACCTACCCACCCACCCCAATGTCCTTTAAGAGCCTTCGTTAAAATAGAGGAATCAGAGAGAAGCAAGTGGCAGAAGAATGGCTGATTATAAATGATAAAAAAACACTCTTAATTATTCATTAGTTCATCACTGACGATGTAAAAATGTTGGTGACAGATATAAATTTATTTAAGAAAAGTTATATAATATAGCTTTAATCTTTATATGAGAGAGAAACAAGATAAATGATTGGCATTTTTTTCAGTTTTACACATTTTACAGAATTTTGCACATTGTTTTGAAATAGCACATTTAAAAACAACATAAATGTATGTACTGTTCATGAACGGCAGAGAAAATGCAATTTTGATCGACTTTGATTAATTGTTTGAAATTCTGTGATTACTACACAGAAGTACTAAATAAAGATGTTAATGTTTAGTCCAGTTCTGTGTGTTAAATATCTAGGTGTTTTTATGTGAATGTGGGTCTTTTAGATCAATTTTTGTGATTTTGATCATGTTTCACATTTTTTGTCACATACTGGCACTGGTCTC